GAGTGACTGATTCCATCCGCAACTCGGCAGTTTCTCATCTGAACAGTCCCATTTTTTTAGCCCCTTTGGAACATTCTGCCATGGTGGTATAAGGGTCACAATTTGAGCCCTAGCAAAAACGGACCGATTTGGTCATTCTTTCGTATTAACCATCCAATTTAGGGGGTCCCAATTATGACCCACCGCCAACAAAAAGCTGAGCCATCCTTGAAGCCCCTTAGAGGCCCTGGCTTTCCCTCTTCATCACGCCGCACATTCCGCTTGTGGACAAAGATGTCAGGACCGCCGCTGTCGGGAGCGATGAAGCCATAGTTCTGTGCAGCGGACGGTGGATCTAATGTGTAAGGAAGCCTCAGAAGATGTTCATTTCAGGCTGTGTTTGCATATCATGCGAGCAACCCAATAATAAACCTACCATTTGGGGATGGTTTATAGCACCCATTTATGATTTTGGATAGTTCATTATTGGGTTTACCACAGTATTTGCAACGCGAAAAATATGCATGCAATTTTGTTCATTCACCTCAAAGTGTACATACGAGTAGCTTGCTGTCAAGAAGTAACACCCAGCAACAGAAGTGATGGGCAGCGTGGAATGACATCTTTTCACAACTCCTGGATGCTCCTTTTGAAACGTCTCTCGTTGCTGGATGCGTATCCCAGTTAGTGGCCAATAATGACTCCAGTCAACTAACACTTTGCAAAGGGTAGGAAATTGTTTGGGGATTTTATTTTTTTTAGTTTGGGGATTTTTTTTTTGATTTCCGGTTCTCACCATTTTCCATGCTATTTGCAGCATTTTGGAGCTGGAAACTGCCATTTCCACGGTATGTGCAACGGTTTTGAGTTCGAACCTCTCATTTTCCATTGTATTTTCCACGGTATTTGCAACAGTTTGCAGCATGTTCTGTCCATTTTCCATGCTCTTTGCAGCATTTTTGAGCTGGAATCTGGATTTCCACCATATGTGCAACATTTTACAGCTACATTCCTCACAGTACTTGCAGGATTTTGGAGCTGAAGGCTGACATTCCAACAGTTGTTTGTTGTTACTGTTACTGTTGTTGGTGTTGGTGTTGTTGTTGTTGTTGTTGTTGTTGGTGTTGTTGTTGTTGTTACCGTTAGTGTTGTTAGTGTTGTTAGTGTTGCTAGTGTTAGTGTTGTTAGTGTTGTTAGTGTTGTTATATATATATATATAATATATATATACATATATATATATATATACAATGTATATATATATATATTCTAACCAAAGTAGTGTATTGAAATGTGTGCAAGCTTGAATTTAAATAAAAAAAAGCGGGAGGGGGGGATTGGGGGGGGGCGCAGCGCCTCCCCCCCAAAGCAGATTGGAAACACCTATTTTCACATGCAAGGTGCTAGGTTGAATGTGATACTCAAGGTGTATATACTACACGACATGCACCTTGGAAACATGTGGAATGTAGGTTAAGGCACAAGGATGCACAATAGTTTCATTTGATGTTATCATCGAGTTGGTTTAAGATCTATTTATATAAGGTTTGGTTCAGGGTTGGCTTGGGGTTTGAATATCATCCGGATGATAATGCAAACCTTTTAGATATATATATATATACAGATATACAGATATATATATAGATATATAGATATATAGATAAATAGATATATAGATTTAAAGATATATAGATATAAAGATATATGTATATATACATATAGAAATATAGATAGATATATACAGATATATAGATATATGGTGGTATAAATATATATATATATAGAGATATAGATATATAGAGATATTTATATAGATATATAGATATATAGTGTATATATATATAGAGATATAGATATATAGATATATAGATAGATATGTATAGATAGATATGTATAGATAGATAGATAGATAGATAGATAGATAGATAGGTAGATAGATAGATAGATAGATATATATGTATATAGATATCTAGATATAGATATATATAGAGATATATAGAAATATATAGATATATAAAGAGATATATAGAGATATATATAGAGATATATTTATATATATATAGATATATATATATAGAGATATAGATATTTAGATATATAGATAATTATATAGATATATGATATATATAGATATATAGATATTTTTTAGATACAGCCATAGATGTAGATATAGATACAGATATAGATAGACATAGATAGATATAGATACGTAGATATAGATAGATATAGATAGATATAGATGGATATAGATGGATAGAAGATGTTGCTCCACACCTCATGGAAAAGAAAAGCAAAAAAAGCAAAGAAAAGCAAGAAAAGCAAAAAAGCAAAGAAAAGCAGAAAAGCGAGAAAAGCAAAAAAGCAAAGAAAAGCAAGGAAAGCAAAAAAGCAAAGAAAAGCAAAGAAAAGCAAAGAAAAGCAAGAAAAGCAAAAAAGCAAAGAAAAGCAGAAAAGCGAGAAAAGCAAAAAAGCAAAAAAGCAAAGAAAAGCAAGGGAAGCAAAAAAGCAAAAAAGCAAAGAAAAGCAAGAAAAGCAAAAAAAGGAATAGAAGCAAAGAAGCAGAGAAGCACTGCAGGAGGCAATAGAGTAAGCAGGAAGAAATCCAAAAAAAAATCCCTAAACTAAAAAAAAAAAAATCCCTAAATAAATGGCCCTCCCTTTGCAAATGTGTGCTAGATGGAAAATCATGGAAAATCATGGAAAATCGCCATCTTCAAAACGTTAACTCATCAAGCTATATCAATGGGCCATAGCCTATGTGACACCCAGCGCCTTGCCGCCGCCAAACATCACCACAGTCCCTCGACCTCGATGGTCGGTGGTTGAGCAGTGGAACCATCCCATATTTCTATGGTGTCTAAGAAAATAAAGCCACCAAGATCAGATCACATTTCTATGCCTTGAACGTTTTTTCAGGGGAAAAATATATGGAAAAATATGGAAAAACCAATCAGATACACCACCATGCGCTTCGCAAGACTTCGTGGAAATCTTGGAAATATCCAAGGCATCAGCAAGATGTTTCATCGATTTGGGGGTTCCAATGACGTTGAAACTTGGAAATCTTGGAATTAAAAAAAAAAAAACGACCTTGGATGAGTTTGGTTCTTATTTTCGACCTTTGGATCGAATTACCAGCAACCCGGCGTGACGTCAGAAGTTTTCGGCCACAGAAATCTGGGGATCCATGGTATTGTGGTAAACCCAATACTAAATCAGATTTTGTGTGGGGGCAAGCCGTGCATTTTACTTGGAGATGGTTTATGTTGATTCTTGGGCCATGAATTTCATGGGTGCAGGAATTTCCCATCACAAAATCAGACCAGGTGTCCCCGCACGGATCTCGGAGACAGCGAGCCAGCCGCAGCATCGTTCCACGATGGGTGCACTGGATGTCGAAGGGCGAAAAAACGGAGGCCGAACACCCAAGGGATATCCAAACAACATGTGGGGATGGGTCAAAACCCTGGTACCTAGTGAACCCCAAAATAGCTGGTAAATGGATGTTCATCCCACTAAAGGTATTGACCCATACCCATGTCATCAACCTGGAATCAACCTATTAGGATCTATTCGGGCCGAAATGTGATGACTCATGACCTCGAATATTTTGAAGATTACCATGCAATGCTTGTTAAACAATGTCAATGCCCATCCTGTCCATGAAAAAAAACTCGTGTTGGTGGTTCTTGCAATATGTGGACTGTGAGCCGAACACCAAGTGATGGTGTCCGTTCAACTGAAGCTGTCGTTAGCAACTCATGGAACGGCACGAGCGCAAGCTAGTTAAGCCTGGTTTCAACAGCCTCGGTTCCTGAACCACTGCGTGAGTCATCTTCTCTCAATAGAGATTGTATATATATATAATTATTTATATATATATATACATATGATTCATATGATATTATATGATATTATGGCAAACCTCCTCAGTTTACTTGCCGGTTTGACAATTCAAACAATTCAAACCGCCAGTTTTGCATATCTGGCATCGAATCCCCATTTCTGCTGACTCAATCCGGGAATGCCACCAATTCAAAGCACTTTTTTCTCCACGTGAAACTGGGCCCCCTTAGTTTCAGGGGCACCACAGCGCTTGCCCTCAGTGCCTCATTGCCTCACGGCGACAACAGCGACTTTCGCTGCCAGAATGCGTTTCTCCACAGATGCACTAACCGCAACTACAAGGGAACATAGAATGGGATCTAATCATCAACATTCCTCAACAATTGTTGCACAAAATACTGGGGCGTTTGTGAACAAATAGGTACAGTACAGAAATGTTACATGTTTCTGTATGATATCTGAATGTAAATGCACCACATACAGTTCCGCATCCTGTCTGCATAACCATGGTGGAATGGATAGAACACAGATTATTTTTCCGACTGTGTAATTGGGGTCATCGAAGGGTCAAAGTTGCTGGAACTTCTCTCACTATTGCCCACTCTTAATCAAGCATGGCAAGTGAAAATCCTCAATAAATGCTGCTTTTTATCTGGAAAATCATCAAGTGGTGGAATGTCCGTCGCCATGTTTGATTTCCGGATGGTATATTATATTCTATGATCCAAAAAAAATGACAACGCAAAACTCTCGAGATACATCCAATGTGTCCATAGGACTCCAATATCCCAAGTTCCATCCCAGTATTTGTAGTCATCTGCTCAGTTTTCAAGCTTTCCATTAGAAATTCATATTTTTTCTTATTATCCATCTAGTATCCGATTGCAATGATGTCCAATTATCCATATGTTTGCTACATCAAAATATGGCTCCCCCAGTGATCTTTTTCGGTTTACATTACCCCAACTAGTTCGATATACCCATCAATCCAATCCTTAGCCACAGCGAAAAGATTGTTTCTGGCCAAGTTACCCAATCTAGGCAGCCCTTTCCTGCAGTGATAACATGGAAATAATTTCAATAATGTAAAAATTGATGTGAAAGTACTTTCTGTACCTTTCAATAGTGGCTACTCTTCCAGGAATTCCCATTTTTTGCAGGGCCTTCTCCAATTTTCAGTTGCTCTCCATGGCGTCCACGGCGCGACGAGCGCTGGTCCTGACGATAGCTAAATTGGTGGGTTTATAACTCCAATGTCACTATGGTTTATGATACTTAGAACTATAGTATTCATGGGGGTTATAAACCAGCAAACCTAACCTGAGGTGGGGCACATTGTACTTGATTTGGTTTTGAAGAAATTACAGGAAACCAGAGTCTTTGAAATGAAGGTTTTTCTGCGAATTTTCCCCTGGAAAATGTTCATTACGCGACGGAGATTGGGCACATCTCATGGTCTAGAAATGTGTAGAATATCAGAATATCAGAATATCAGTTCCTACACTCACCAGAAGTGGAATGACCACAGAGAATTCAATCGGCTATGATCAAGACCCTGTGGTTCACATCAAAAAGTTATCAGAATTCTTGGGATGTGAACACCTATACAGTATACCCTCTGGCAATTTGTTACATTGAAAATGGCCATTTTTGGTTCGTTGATTTACCCACTCAAAATGGTGATGTTCCATAGCTATGTTGGTTTATCAGAGGGTAAACCTCCATTTTCCTATGGTTTTCCTCTAGTTTTCCTATGGATTTTCCCATTTTCCTATGGGTTTTGACTAGGATTGAACCCAGCGCAGCCCAGAAACCTGGGAAGGGCTGCCAACGTCCGGTGGAGCGACTGAGCGGGTCTCTGGTTGGTGGTTGACCTACTTGGTTAATGGTGATTAATGGTGGTTAATGGTGGTTAATGATGGTTAATGATGGTAAATGATGATTAATTATCTGGTTGGTGGTTGACCTACCCCTCTGAAAAATATGAGTTAAAGTCAGTTGGGATGAGTATTCCCAATATATGGAAAGTCATAAAATTCATGTTCCAAAGCACCAACCAGGACTTCTTCTGGTGAACCTTGGTGAACATCCCAGAAATCAGAAGAATCTCGGTCAGAAATCTTCATCCACCTCTTGAGGTTTTTCAGATTTTCGAGACGTGACCCACATGCCATAGGCGGCGCAACGATTCGCCGAGGGGCCATGACTCTCCATGAAATCCATGCAATGAGGATTTCAATCCACAAGATGATAGCCCCAGTATTGGGCAGTATAACCAGCGTAACCCCGGCCAAAAAAGTCCAAGATCAACCAATGACCTGATATAGTTTATCTAAAAATTGAGTACCCCGTTCCATCCATAGATTTATCATCATATGCTTATTAAAGTTGTCATTTTGGGGTACCCCCTATTTCCAGACCAAAACATATCCGTTGGCCAAAGATATCCCAATATCTCTCACTTATAGATGATAAATCATGATAGATCCTCGATTTATATACCACTATACCCCCTATAAATATTTGGGCAGTTCCTAAAATAGGGGTACCCCCAGTTGTCATCCATTTCAATCGGATGTTCCATGAAATAAACCATCCAGCTATTGGGGTACCCCCATTTATGGAAACCTCCATCTATACATCATGGTTCGACCAGGCCCCAAGCGATGCCCTCCAGTGCCTTCTTGGCGGCCTGTGGCGCCACAGCAGCGTAACTCAGCGCTTTGGCCTTCTCCTAGACATTCCCAATATGATTAAAAAAATGGCTTTAGATGAAACTCCAATGGACTGGAACCTAAAATGGCCATGTAAATTGAGATTTGGATTGGGCTTTGAATATGTAGACATATACACATGTCTTGTATCTATGTATATATATATATGTATACTGTATATGGTTGTGTCCAAAGATGGAGGCAAAGGGAAAGTTATGAGTATCTTGGTCGGGTGCTTGAGTCCAAACTTCACTACGAGAATGGGACGGGTTCGCCATTACAAATGGGGGTTGATATGGTGAAATACCATTCTGAAGTGAGGATGTATAGCCAATATCATATGACCAAAACCCTCAATTGGACTCCAAAACCAATACTGTAATTCCGATACATTCTAGCGGGTTTCGTTTGGGGGTATGTAGTATGAACAGGGAAATGGAGTTCAAGACCACAGATGTAAGCATGACTCTGGTGGGATATCTCTCATCTTCCTCCATCAAAAAAAATGCTGCCAAAAGAAGCCTAAGATCGACCACTTAGAAGCTTCCTCAGAGACCCATCAAACATCTCACACCCTGAGTCGTGGTCTCTTGACAGATGCCCTCAAACATATCGGCTGGAAGATTCACCGTGATGGATGTGAATCAACCATCAACCATCAAAGCAGCCAACATTGACATTAACAACAATATTGGTGCTAGTTGTTTATCCCTAATATTGAAAAAATATGATAATATAGTGATAATAATAGTGGTATCAGTATTGATATCATCGCTAGTGATAAATATAGTAGAGTATTGAATATCAATCATACTCTTAGACTATCACTAATGTTGATACCCTCTGGTAAACCAACATAACTATTGAAACTCCCCATTCTTCATAGGTAAATCAAACTCCCCATTCTTCATAGGTAAATCAACTATAAATGGCAATATTCAATAGCTATGTAACAAATTCAATATTGATGTCATTGATGTCCCTATGATCACTATCGGCTTCACTGTAGCCCTCCCATCCCACGTTCTCCTCCTTGCTGTAGCCCGGCACTCCGTTGCTCAGGAAGAATGGCAACAAGGCTCCGGCCGCCTGGGACCGGACAATGAAGGGCTCCTTCGCATCTTCGGATCCTCCCCTTTTACTGGTATGAGTCAAAATGGGTGAAAAATGGACGATCTCATTGTCTTAGATTTTGACTCATCTCCATTTGGCAGGTTAAATTTCACGGGGAAACTGGGCGTAGAGGTCCTTTTTCTACGCACTCAGCACCACTCGCCAGCGATCTGTACACCTGTTTGAGTCTCCAAAACGATTTCACACAGAGTGCGTCACGGGATTTACCCAAGGGAGCCATCACTAGACGACATCCTGGGGGTTTGAATCGGGTTTTGTCACCGTCTGCGTGCCCTCCTAGCTGAGAGGATGTACAAAGCTGAGCCAAACATGTGACTCTCATTGAAAGATGCCCGCAACTGCGTGTATGAGTGATTATGTATGATATATATATATATATAATTATACATGCATACGTATACATGTGCGTTTTGCCTGTTGTAAGGATTGTATCCTATCTTCTAAGCGCGCACCGCAGCAGGGGGAGCATGATCCATGTGACCTACTCGACATGCCAAATGGGTAGCAAATGGGTCTGTCTCAAAATGCTGTACCCGGCCTGGTAAACTAACATAGCTATTGAAAATGACCCTTTATAGTGGATTTTCCCATGAAAAATGGTGATTTTCCATAGCTATGTTAGTTTACCAGAGGGTATCCATACTCCAAAGCTCCAGTGAAAAGGCAATTTTGGTAGGTATAACAGACCATGGGATGGAATACCCAATATTTCAGACAAACCCGAATGATGATTTTATGGGTTTGTAGAAACTCTGTGAGCAAAGCTATGTACCGCTGTTTTACTAGGAGTTCTTCGAGATTGTCAGTTGATGAAAAATCATCGATGCGGATGATGTTGTCATGCCCAATGTTTCCCGTTTTGAAACATGTTAGACACCACCAACCAAATCAGCACTGATTATATACCTTTATATCCAGAAAAATATCCCCAAAATATTTTGTGAGTGTGAGTACGATAAAATTTTATGGAAGAAACAACAGAAACATAGAGACTTCTCCTCATGATGTTCCCAGTATATCCCCGTCTGTTTCCAAAAACTCATCATGGTCTGGGGAAATTATAATAATTCACTAAGCTGCAATAAGTTTTGTTGGGATCAATTACCTATATTCACCATCATTCCAGTGAGGTCGCAGTGAGGTCGTTATAATTTACATCGATGGGTGTCATCTAAACTTTCTACGGCTTAGATCCGCTTTCCCCGCCGTTGCAGCAGCACGCTGAGCACGCTGATCCTCAGCCAAACCAGCTGTTGGCCTGCGAACAGCATGGAAAACATGTTGAATACTGACCACCAAGAATGGGGAACAAATGATAACTCATGAGTTGGCAATGATGATAATAATAGTAACAATAACAATAGTAATCTATATATATACCTTATGAATTATATCTCATGTTACACTTCACCATGCAACTAACAGTCACTAACACTTCAACTCATGTTCACTGCCAGTAGAGGAAAGTAGTCTTTCCAGCCCCGATGTGTGGCAGGTTTTCGCAGGTGGAAGCACAAGAAACAAGAAAAAAGAAGACGATCTTAAGTTTGTTTTGTTTGGGGCATCCCAAGATTTTACAAGTTTAACCATGTCCCGCATCAAAGACTTGTATTCCATGGGTTTACTTGGGAAAATCTACAGGAAACCCAGGATTTTCCCCATCAAAAAAAGGTGGTGTCCTTTAAAATTTCCCAACTAAACCAATCCAGTGAACGAGTCCTTCATCATTCCAGGGGATATTTTGTTGGAAGCTGCTAATCTTGGGACATCCATCGGGTTGATGGAGCAATGACCTCAAGAAGGTTCAGTGTTCCCGGGCCTTGTCGATCATAATGTTCATGTTCTTTTGAATCTCCTTCCAGGGGCAAAAAAATTGCAGACAAGTCGGCCAGCAACTGGATTTTTTTTCAACACAATCTGAGAACGTTGCAGTGTCTTTACCATGTCTGGCAGCTGGGTGTGTCTCGAAGTTGGTTTCCCACCATTGGTTGGATGGGTTGAATGCCAACCCAAGGTCTGCATGTGTGGGTACCCCATGTTTGAGCCAAAACCCCATCATTTTCGAGTGACTTTCCCGATCCTGTGTTTGCATCTCTGCCATTTTCTGTTGCGTGGACCCCCTATCATTGTTGGCAAGTCCAAAGTTGTTTCTGAAAAAAATGTTGTCTTCCATTTCTTTGCCGAAATCCGAAGTCTTTCAACAAATCACACTGTTTCTTGGTCAAGTCGCCCATTTGTGGCCATTAATCGATGATGTTTCATGTTTTTTGATGGTTAAATCTCATGTTTTTCATTGTTTTTGATGGTTAAATCCTCATTTTGCATGGTTGTTGATGGATAAATCCTCATTTTGCATGGTTGTTGATGGGAAAAACCCTTCATGATGGTTCATGGTTTTTTCATGGTCAAATTCCTATTGTTTACGGTTTTTGATTGTTAAATCATAATTCTGCATGGTTTTTGGTTGTTAAATCCTCATTCTGCGTGGTTTTTGATGGTTTAAATCCTAATTTTGCATGGTTTTTGATGGTTAAATCCTCATTTTGCATGGTTTTTGATTGCTAAATCCTTCATGGCTCATAGTTTTCCATTGTTAAATCCTTGTTGTTTACGGTTTTATGATGGTTAAATCTCATGTTTTTCATTGTTTTTGATGGTTAAATCTTCATTTTGCATGGTTGTTGATGGGAAAAAAACCCTTCATGGTTCATGGTGTTTTCATGGTCAAATTCCTATTGTTTACGGTTTTTGATTGTTAAATCATAATTTTGCATGGTTTTTGGTTGTTAAATCCTCATTCTGCATGGTTTTTGATTATTTAAATCCTAATTTTGCATGGTTTTTGATGGTTAAATCCTCATTTTGCATGTTAAATCCTCATTTTGGATTGTGTTTGATTGTGAAATTTTCATTTTGCATTAAATCCTCATTTTGGATTGCTTTTGATTGTGAAATTTTCATTTTACATTAAATCCTCATTTTGCAAGGTTTTTGATGGTGAAATTTTCATTGTGAATGGTTGTTGATGGTTAAATCCTCATTTTACATGGTTTTTGATTGCTAAATCCTTCATGGCTCATAGGTTTCCATTGTTAAATCCTTGTTGTTTACGGTTTTATGGTGGTTAAATCATAATTCTGCATTGTTTTTGGTTGTTAAATCCTCATTTTGCATGGTTTTTGATGGTTAAATCCTAATTTTGCATGGTTTTTGATGGTTAAATCCTCATTTTGCATGTTAAATCCTCATTTTGGATTGTGTTTGATTGTGAAATTTTCATTTTGCATTAAATCCTCATTTTGGATTGTTTTTGATTGTGAAATTTTCATTTTGCATTAAATCCTCATTTTGCAAGGTTTTTGATGGTGAAATTTTGATTTTGAATGGTTGTTGATGGTTAAATCCTCATTTTGCATGGTTTTTGATTGCTAAATCCTTCATGGCTCATAGTTTTCCATTGTTAAATCCTTGTTGTTTACTGTTTTATGATGGTTAAATCCTCATTCTGCATTGTTTTTGATGGTTGAATCTGCATTTTGCATGGTTTTTGATTGTTAAAATCCTTCGTCATGTTTCATTGTTTTTGACGGTTAAATCCCTATTGTTTATGGTTTCTTAAATCCTTCATGATTTTTGATGGTTGAGTCCGCACAGCTTTTCAACACCGGCACGGCGCTATCGGCACTGCACCTTGGCTTTCGCCGCGCCGGTCAAGCGATGGCCCTCAGCATCCACGTCCCAGGCCTGGCGATGGTAGGGGCAGCCCTCACCTCGTAATCAACTGTTTTTATAATATCAATGGCAATATCAAGGGTATATCTATGACTAGTATATCTTTTATCAGCGGTAATATACGACAACCCTCTTGTCAATAGTAACCTTGTTACCAGTAGTGCCACACAAGGCGGTGGCGGAAGATTCAAAGATAGGAAACTATAACTATAAGAGAGGTGAGTTCTTGTGATGCATGGACGGCAGAGCGAATCCACTGATGGACCGAAAGGTGGTTGGAGTTGTGTTTTTTGGAGTGGTTGCAGAGGTCACCTCAACCAGAACTGCTGGATGTAGTGTGGCGTAGTGTAGTGTAATGTAGTTGTAGTCGTAGTTGTAGTTGTAGTGTAGTGTGGTTGTCGTTACAGCTGTAGTTGCTGTTGCTGTAGTTGTATTGCTGTAGTTGTAGTTGTAGCTGTAGTAGTTGTTGTAGTTGTAGTTGTAATTGTAGTTGTAATGTGGTGTAGCGTAGTGGTAGTGGTAGTGGTAGTGGTAGTGTGGCGCAGTGGAACGTAGTGTAGTGGAGTTGTAATTGCAGCTGCAGCTGCGGTCGCAGTTAAAGTTGTAGTTGTAGGTGTAGCGTGGTGTACTGGTAGTATAGTGTGGTGCAGTGGAATGTAGCGTAGTGTAGTGTAGAGTAATGGAGTTGTAGTTGTCGTTGCAGTTGCAGTTGTAGCTGTAGTGTCCACAAGACAAGCCCAAAGCATGCACCATTGACAGCCACATTTGAAGGCTACAAGAAAACTCCAATAAGCAGCCAAAAAGCTCAAGCCCACAAGGACAAAGAAGAGCCCCAACAAGGTGGCTGTCCAGCCAATTCCCATGCTTGTCCACCAAACAGCCTGGCCATGGCACACCTCGGACCTGTCCTGAGCACAGTCTGCATTGACCGTTTATTTCTATGTCTGCTGCGTATGTTCCTGTGTCGCCTGGGCCCCACCTTTCTGGCGGGAAGCGGTTTTTTGGGTTCCCCTGAGAAACGGTGCCAGGCATCCACACATCCCCCAAACCAAAGAGAAGAACCAAAATGGGCGATGAAACCAAAAAAAAACAAGAGATAATAAAATCCCTCAGAAACAGGCCTATCAAGACTAAAATGCAAACTCGCATCGATTTGGTTACACCAAGCTGCAAACCGTGGGAGAACCACCGCCAAAAGATCGAAACCCCGAAACAAGAGGTCGTAAAGACCAAACATCAAATTAAGCAACCCCATAAAGATGCCATACACATTGAATGAATTCAACGTCAAGAGGCATGACCCGCTCCCGCCGTGTTCTGGAACTGGAGGTAGTGCTTCGAGAGCTGTAGTACAAAGGAGTACTGGGAAGTACTGCGTGCAAGTCTTGTAGTACGAAGTAGTACTGGAGAGTGCTTGCGCAAGCGTTGTAGTACGAAGTAGTACTGGGAAGCACCTTGTGCAAGCTGTGTAGTACAAAGTAATACAGGGAAGTACTTTGTGCAAGCGATGACATCACAAAAACATTGTCTCGGGCTTCAGAGCTGTCAACAAGAAGGGCTGTCAAAATTCAGAGATGTCAGGAGCAAACCGGATCAGGAGAAAGTGGCATCATCAGAAAAGGGTGTCAAAGAAAGAAATGTCAAGGACAGAAGAGTTCCAAGAGATCATGCAGTCAACGGCTCTGACAGGCGGTCAAGCTTCGTTCCTATAGGCTCTCCCTTTTCTTTATAGGCTTCCCCCTTTCGAAACTTCCGTCACCCGGCTTGCCCCGGCTCTACTGGTATCATGCATCAACAGTAGATTTTGTTGTGAAATGGTACATCAGTATTAGCAATGTTATATCTAGAATTATGACCCCGTGTAGAACAGAGAAAGTGGATTTTAGCAAAAAATTAAAAAAACATTAAAAAAAAAAAACAGAATCACCAAAAAAACAAATCGACAGGAAGAATCACCAGAAGAAACAAGAAAAAAAGAATCAAAAAAAAAACAAAAACTGCGGAAAATGCAGGTTTTGATTTTTTTTTGTTTTTTTTGTTTATTTTTTCTTGTTTTTTCCTTGGTTTTGGTTTTCTAGTTTGTTTTTTTTGTTTGCTCTGGTTTTGTTTTTTTTTGTTTTTTTATTTTTTTGTCAAACCCTATATTCTCTGCGTTGTTGGACTCATAAATCTAGAATTGTATGATGTCATTTTCATCGTTTTAATCTAATATGTATACATAAATATATACACATATAGTTAGCAGTGGTGTTTATCATTATCATAGGACTCATAATGTTCATATTATCTATGTCTATTTAACTACATGGCACCCCTATCATCGCAACTATCATACTGTAGTTCTTGGGGGGTACCATATACTGTCTGTGTCTGCAAATACGTTAAACTCAAAAATTGATGACATTTAAAATTAAGAAGGGTATGATTGAGCAGAGATATATACATGCGAATATGTAAATCACGTATGTATATATATATACATAGAATGAGAGAGAGATAGATTTATATATATATTTATTTATTTATATTATATATATATGGATGTATATGTACAAAAAGAAACACAGATGGACAGACAGATAGATCGATGGACAGATGCAAAGTAGTCATCCTGGAGAAGACAGAATGTGGACAAAACAAAAAGAAATGAAGATGAGATTCCCATATTCCATCTATTTCAGGATGATTGTAGATCCATAGATATATCTATATATCATAAACCATAGAATTCACCCAACTTAACTATCTAGGAGGTCTGGCAGGTAGATAGACAGGTAGGCTGATCCATAGATAGAAATCTGGATCAGATACATTTAATTACAATATTTACGATAATTCATTCACCTGCAAAGTTCGGTTTTTTATTGTGATAATTCCCCTTATTAAAAGTACTTTACCCAGATTCCCAGATAGAGATCCCCATCAAAACAGACAGCAAAAGGGGAAAAGTTCCCCACCTCCAAGACCAGCGGTGGTCCGCTGTGCACCTTACGATGCAGCTCCGTACGCACCTAGCGGTGGATGAGTGGGCCAAAAAAAACCATGGATTTAGCATTCAAAAATGGAATTTGATCAGGAAAATGTGGCTAAACCCCTTCTGTTTATCTGTAGGTTTTCTGGATTGACCCATTGGGAAAGCATTGGGAAACCCTTGGGAAACCAATGGGTTCGCCATCTCCCAAGCACCTTGTCCTGGTGGCTCACAGTGACCGTCATCTCTCCGGTTGCTTCGCTGAACTTCAACAAGTGCCGTGTGACCTCCGCTGGTCTATCAGGATGTTCCGCGCAAAAATAGCGAATTGGGAGTATACCACGCCCATTGCTGTTGCTGAAATCCTCTGTTTTTCGAAGAAACACATCTGTTTTCGTTTTTAGCATAGTCATCAAAAAACATGAAGTATCATCAAATATTCTATCTATCTATATATATATATATTATTCATATCCCCATGAGGATATATCATTAAATATCCTTTTGAGAATTGTCATGTCTTATGTATATATATACACACATACATTTCTTCAAGGTTGAAATATAAGTCAACGTCGATTAGGTCCCTAACCCATTACACCTTCAGCGCACTGTTGCTCTTTTTCTGACGCCTTTCTCTTCTTGTCTTCCAACCTGTATCACTTACAGGATAATGCATTGGGTATGCCCACAGATTCATCATCCCTGCTGATGAAGACCACCAGAGTCAGTTAAGCTAAGATATGCTGGATCACCTCCAGATATCTATTCACACCCGCTGATACGGTTATTCCTCTTCAATCTGATGGTATTCACAGTGTCGTGTGCAAAGACCCTATCTGCAGCGCAGGCTTCAAGTTGCAAGGTTACCCCACGGGGAACCCGATACCAGGGTAGGTCAAAAATCCCTGATTTAGGAAGGGCAAGGAAAACAATGCAGCTATTTTGGATCAGTGTACTTGAGCCAAAATTGGCATTTGTTTTGTTTTTCCTGATTTAACCAACCACCAAGAAATGACCACTGTCCACCCAGGCCTGCCAAACTCTAGACAGTCATGTACAGTATATTCTGATATGGTGATGCTCTGACACTTCAAAAATTAACATTGTGATATGAAAAATCCTTATATAATCCTTATAATGATTGAATATCTTAAGATATGGGTCTCTTTGAAAATGGTGTATACCCCCCAGCCATGGCACTTTTCATGACGGGAAATCGGAATTTTTAACCAATGGATTTACCAAGTACAGTACCCAACATTTTCAAACAAGCCCATATGGAGGTTTCCTAGAACTGGGGATCCCCAGTCGTCACCATGCTTGTTTCAATGCTAAGTCCTGGTCATCCATGACAACTAAACAATTTGGGGATACCCTATTTTGATGTAACCGGCCTCGCCCTGCTCGTTGGTGACGCTGCCGCGAATCTCGCTCTCCGTCTCGTCCAAGGTGATGCCTGGCACCTGCGGCCCGGTCGAAGGGCGAGATCCCAGGGAGGCTGGTTGGATCCAAAAAGAAGTGTAGATGTTGAGTCAGAAAATATAGGAAAAATGATTTCTAGGCTTTTGAGCATCAGGTTTTGAACACCAGAAAATGTTTTTTGTTGGTCTTTGAAGCACCAAAAGTTAGAGGCTGATGATGATGATGATGACGACTATGACGATGACGATGGCGATGACGATGACGATGACGATGATGATGGCGATGACGATGACGATGATGATGATGATGATGATGATGATGGAGCCGCCGTACCCTGTCCATGGGGAATTTCCCCATTTCTGCACCCTCCGGTGTCATCAAACATGGCAAAGAAAACTGCCCATTTAGTTCGATGATTTTCCCAGCTAGCAACCTCCATTAGTGGATTTCCAAGCTTGCCATGTTGACACCGGATGAAGATTTTCGAGGTGCCTGCGCCAGAAAGTCTCTGGTGAATTTCACCATCTGCGGAAAGAAGTTCTCGTAGCTCACGTGTTCATCCATGGGCTCAGAGACCATGCCTGGGAGGAGCAAAAAACCCAAAAACTATCGAAACCTTGAAGCCACTACGAAATGGGAAATCGTTGTGAAATTCTGGGAAATCTGAAACATAATTTCAATAAAACCCCTGGGTTTATGAAATTGGGACCCTAGTAACCGTGACCCCCTTTGTGCTTACGTCACACTTAACGACAACCGTGAAGCCATATGTGCTATGGTCAAAAGATGATATGTGGTTTATGGTCATCCCATGGGAATCCTTGTGATTAGCACATAAATCCCTATTGCCATAGCACCTACGAGTACTTTAAGTTCTTATTGGAACCCGCCTACGTGTCATATCCTTTTAGATTCTCCACCTACGTCTGCAGCTCAAAGTTCGCAACCGAGCTGCTCTTGAGACCTTTCTCCGCAATGGACGTACTATCGGGGGTCATTTTGACCTTGGCAGTTTTGAAGCTGTGGATGTTGTTGACGATGTTGTCACTCCACGAATACCTCAGAAGAAATGAGGCGAGGATGATGGTCGAGCTGGTGGTCCGGCTCGTTTGGAAGGCACCTTCATAGATTGCCGAGATATTTACACTGATTCTTTCAGTTTTAGCCTCTCTTCCTATATTTCAGCATGTGTGCGTATATAATGCATGTACTGTTTATGCGCATGTATAATATGTATAATACAGGTGCTTTCAATATATATATATATAGAGGGGTTGCATTTTGGAGCATCAAATCTTGAGGTTTGCTGAGATGATTCTGCGTGACAGGTGCAGCACTTCGTATGACCTGGCATCACTTTTTCGTGGCAGGCGCAGTACTTTAGACAGGTGGAGTGGAAAATTCGCAAAACGCATTGGTACGAGGCCGTCAGCTCTGCACTCAACTTTCCATTTTTGAAGGAAGTCTCGCAGTTTGATGTTGTCAACTTTGAAAATTGAGGAAGTCTCGCAGAATTGTTTCGTTTTTGATGCTGTCAAGTTCAAAAATTGAGGAAGTCTCGCAGAATTGCTGCGTTTTTGATGTTGTCAAGTTCAAAAATTGAGGACGTCTCGCAAAATAGCTGCGTTTTCAAGCTTGCAGATAGACAGATAGACAGATAGATTGATTGATAGATAGATAGATAGATAGAAAACTACAACTGCAACTACAACTACAAGTACCACTACACTACTGCTACTACTACTACTACTACTACGACTACGACTACGACTACGACTACTACGACTACTACTACGACGACGACTACTACTACTACTACTACAAATATACTACGCTGCAATACACAACACTAATCACACTGCACTACACTAATTATATCTAATTATACTACACCACGCTAATTACATTACAACTACTACAACAGCAACAACAAAAAACAGCAACAGCAGCAACAACAACAACAACTACTACTACTACGACGACGACGACCACCACCACCGCCACCACAGCTACAACTACAATTACAGCTACACTACATTACACTAATTAAACTGCAGTATATTACAGCTACAAATGCAAATACAACTACAACTACACAACACTACACTACACTAATTATATTACATTTACATTACACTACAACTGCAACTACCACTACATTGCACTACACGACACTACACTACAACTACAACTACACTACAATACACTAGACTACACTACCCTATACAACTTACACCACTACTACATCTGCAACTGCAACTACACTACACTACACCTACAACTTACAACTACAACTCCACTACAACTACAACTACACCTACAACTACAGCTACAACTACAACTGCACTACACCACACTGCATCCAGCAGTTGTGGTGAGGTGACCACTGCAACATTGCAACCACTCCAAAAAACACAACTCCAACCACCTTTCGGTCCATCAGTGGGTTCGCTCTGCCATCCATGAGTCACAACAACCAACCCTTCCTATAGGTTTTCTATTTTTGAAACTTCCGCCACCGCCTTGTGCGGTACTACTGGTATTTCCATCTACGGTATACCATGGTATACCCATAACCAAACAAGCCATTAACATAACACCATAACCAACTGAAAAGCGTATGGCCCTCAATCAACCATTAGTATGTGGTTATACTTATACCCTTCAAAACGGTTATGAATCAAAGCCCGTGGAATCCCCCTCTGCTTACCAAAAAAAGCTGGGATTCATGGATGTTCATCCCCCAAGAATATAGTAATCCTATCCCCCTAATATTGAGCACCCCCCCATGTGGGTCCCAAATATATGTGTAAATACCCTACATCCACTGTGGTTTGGGACTTCGGGGGATGTTCAAGATATAATAACAAGGAAAAAACATACCTGCACCTTCCAGGTGCCCTATAAATACTATAGCTTCCCTTTCCATCCACAACCAGGCACAGTCCGTCTCGCGTCTCCGGATTCGCCAGGCGATTCCCGTCTTTGTCGTCGATACCTCGAGGAAACGAGCGAAAACACCAGCGATGGGGAGATCATCAAACAAGACCAATTACCCTCTGGTAATTTAACATAGCTATTGAAAATGGCCCAGTCGAAATAGCGGATTTTCCCATCTAAAACGGTGATGTTCTATAGCTATGTTAAATTACCAGAGGGTTGATGGCTTCCCGTGGATGAATCACCCCAAAGCCTGGCTCGGTTTCACCCACGTAGCTTCAACGACCCGGGTTCCCGCCAAACATGGAGGTTGTACTATGGGCCGCTGGCACCCTTGTTGTGGTTGTTACTGTACATGATATCTCCCATACCAATACTGGTTGTTGATATATATATATGTATATATATATACATAAGCGTATCTATCCCCATGTAGCTGTGGTTCAACGTCCAAAATGTCGCCATAGTGGATATCCACATCAAATCTCAGCTTAAAATGCTCTCAAGCCGCAAAATTCGATCTGCGGCGGATCCTGCAAGAAGTTAATTTCCTGAGATGCAGAAAGGAACCCAAGCAAAACACCTTAACAGTTTCGGGGCCCTCAGCTGGTGGAAGTTCTGGACAAATTCCAGCAGGACGTCACTTTTTCCAGCTTTCCGAAGTGGCAAGGCCACCTCATCTTTGAACTCACCGGCATTGGGCGTAGATTTCCAGTGTGCCTACGGGATCAGCCTTGAAGCTATCACTTCGTACAGCTTCCTTGCTCCCATGGGATGGAGGAGTTGCAGAAGTCTCCCGTCCACAACTCCTCGCCCTCCTAAAAGGAAAAGGCGCTGCTTTTTGGTCACCCCAGATACAGTACAAAGGGGGAAAGCTGGGTAAATAACGCACTATACAATATGTAAAATATGTAGATATGTAGAATATTAATATGATAAAGAAATCCAAACTATCCTAAAATATATTGCAACTAATATGATAAAATCACCCGTTCCCCAAAAAAATCGTGGCTATGATTCACCAGTGTTTCGCATCCCTGTCCTTGTTGTAGCATTGATTCGTCTGTTTGGTTTCCGGGTTCAACCACTGCAGCAGCCGCTGACCCACCTGGGCTTTGCTGCAATCATCCTCCAAGCCTGCAGGGGTCGTGGCATTCAGCTTCTCGGGGATCAGTAGGGTGAAGCCATGGTAGTCCGCATTGACCAGGAAGACGGAGAATTGTGGGTAAGCTGCAAACATGCTCACCTGGTGAGGTGGAGGTGTTCTAATGATTCTTTGCCCCCGGCTCAAAAGATTATGTGAAAGTTGGGATCATCCATTTTCTAGGGATGAAAAGTTCAAAAAATCCATGAAAGCAGCACTGAGTGACGTGTGCAGTGAGCTCTTTGTAAAACGTGGAGCTATTGAAGAGCCGAGCTTTGACTTTTTCGGTTTTGCCACTCAAGAAGTCACGCAGCAAACTCGAGGGTTCCCGAAAGGCTATCACAAGATCTCCAAAGATAATCTGCACCTGGTCAAACTTGCTCAGAGGCATTAGCAAACGCACCTGAGCAATGTTCAAAAGCCAAAAAAAATATGTCACCTCTTTACACCGGTTCATGGACGATGTTCCAATATTTTCCAATCCCCAATTTCATCATCTTGCTAGGTGACCCAGCGTGACCCAGGGTGACCCAAAACTCATCAAGCAAGTTTGGTCATTTTGGTCATTTTGGTCATTGCTCACCTCGGGATACGTCTTGAGGTTGTACAGAACCAAGTCGCGGATGTTGATGTCCCGGTTGCGGCACCTCTGTAGGAGCGGAGACGGAATGATGCCAGTTTCACAAAGGCCCCAGTAGTCCATGATACCTCTTTGCAAGGCATCCACATCGTTCACCTGGCCACACCAGAAATGGATCAAATTTAAAGAATTGGCTTATTATGGCCTAGAAATGGTGTGGCTTAGTACTCTTTATTCTAGGCTTATGACTTATGTTTGTGGGTTGGTAATGGGTGATGGGTATAACTTTAACGTCCATGGCTTGGGATCTACCATAAATACTGCCTCGAATGATGGCCAAACTGGTATCTGGATGTGTCCGAACATGAGGGATTGACGAATTTACCCACAAAAATATGGCAACTGTTGGGAGGGAAAATGATGATCAACCATTTATAGTACACGCTTCTTGCGTCAAAATGATCGGGACGTGATGTCCTTGTGATATTTCCAGATTTTCTTGACGACTTTACCTGCAAACCCAGGAAGGAGTCCGCGATGAAGATGGTCTTCTTGTCTTGGTAACGACCCTTAAAACGCTCCAAGATGTCTCCTTGCCAAAGTTGAACCCCCAGTGCACCCGCAGATTCTCCAGAAATCACAAAGCTCTCCAGAGGACTGGTTAATCCAGGTTCAGGCCCTTCAAACTGTGCCTTCGTCCACTCCATGACCGACAAGGTGTTGGCATATCCCTTCATGGGTTTCCAAGCGCTGGCCGACTGTGCAGGCATAATCCAGAAATGTTCCGAAGCACCTGCGAAAGCATCCCCCGAACAATAAACGACTTCCACCAGAGTGTAGCCATAGAAAGGATTTCCTGGGTCTTGGATCTTCATGATGCCAGCCCAGTTAAAGCCCACAGCCGGGGAACACATGGCACCCACAAAGGTGGGCCAATTCCAACAGGAGCCTCCACCATCAAAAGTCAACAGGACTTTGCTGGAGTTGCCACGCCAAACGCGAAAGACGTAGTCTCCGAGCAGGCATCCGGTGTTTCCACCTGGCACAACGTCACAAAAATTGATGCTTACCCTCCAGCTAAACGTGGCTTGCTGGAAAATGCCCAATTTCTACATGACTTGCCCAGCTATAAACCTCTATTTGCAGTGGGATTTTCCATTGCCACGTTTGAGACCGGAGGGAATCAACCATCTGGAGGTGCCCGTTTTCAGCCACACCTGGTTTCACAGCCGTCCATTGGTGCAGCGGCATGTCCTTCAGACTGCAGCTGCTGTTGCTCATGTCACAGATGGGAACTTTGAAGACGGTTTTCGTGGATGCTGTGACAACTTTTTCTCCGATTCCAGGGGGTGCGAGGCCATCACCAGGGAGGATGGATATCACGTAGTCCTTGATGGCCGTCCCACCAGCGAACAACAGCAAGCAGGAGCATAGGAAACAAACGCAGGCGACGAAGAAGAGCCCTAGAGCTGCGATGTAGTGAAGATACCTGGAGGTTTCCTAAGTCATGGGTCATGGGGATAGCTCCATGATAAACCATCCAGATATTGGGGATCCCCCATTTATGGAACCCCCCGCCTAACCAGACCGGTTGCCTCTGACTTGGCTCCGAGCACAAAGAAGATCGAGGCTTGAACCAGGACCATGGCTGGCCAGATGAAAATCAGGACATTGGCGTGCCACCACCAGAAAGGAACAATGAAAGACCGGAAGAAATAGGTCGATCCCAAGGCCACGTAGGCGATACTTTCACAAATCAGCGCTGCAAGCGCCAGTTGCTTTGCTGCTCTGAATTCAGGGCCCAGCTGGTTCAAGCCCAGCACCAAAAGCAGGTGCCCTGAGACGAGAAGACATCCCAAGATGGGCCAGAGCCAAGTGTCTACAAAATAATCCAACAGCAAATCCAGAAAACTGATCAGAGCTGCAAATGTCAAACATGTTCCCACCACATTCAACACCAACTTGATACGATCCTCAGGTGCCACAAGGCCATTGCTAGCTGCAGGAGCCGAGCTGGGGGATGTGCTCAGCAGCTTCTGCTTTTCCAGGTCCATCTTTGGAACAGAGCTGTACTGTGAGCCAAAAGCGCAACCTAATTTTCTGGTTCCCCGTGTTCAACATCTCCAATGCCCAAAAATATCGATCAAGACATCCCAAGATATTACAGTAAGCACCATTTTCAGACACTATCGTATCAAGTTGTATCCCCATTAAATGAGCAGTCGATTCCCGTTAAAGCCCCATTTAAAAAATCCCACGAAATCTCTCAACATTTTTTTTGGTGGGATTCAACCTCCATTAAAAAGAAAAAAACATTTTTTCGGTGTTCAAAAAATCCAATTATCATTTTTGATTGTTTTTTTGGATAATTCTTATAAACATTTTTTTTTGAAAAATCCAATTGATGTTCATTTATGATTCATGATTTCTTATAAACTCCGAAATCAAACATGGCAATTGAAAATCACCCATGAATCAATGGAGGTTTTTTTGGCTGGGAAAATCATCGAACTGAATGGTAGATTTCCAGCAAGCCACGTTTGATGACCGGAGTATCCCATTCCAAATCCCATGATAAATGATGGTTCAATTCCCATTATATCCCCATTAAATCCTCCAGTTCTATTAGATTTGTCCATGATCAATCGGCTATCCCATTCTATGATGATTATTCTAGAATATCTAAGATACTATTTAGTTTAATACGGGTATGTCTGAAAAAGGTGCATACCTCCCAGCCATGGTCATTTAAGGAAAATGATGTTCTAATCCATTGGAATTGGGGATTTCCCCTAAAATCTCAGACGTCATACCAGATGTTTCTTAAGGATCCCCAGTCCTCATGGGTTTCAATACGAAGTCCTGGTCATGACGACTGATATCTGGTAATTTAACATAGCTATTGAAAATTGCAATTGTTAGTTGATTTACCCATCTAAAAATTGTGATTTTCCATCGTTTTTTTGTATGATTTTGTATGTTTACCAGAGGGTACCATGCCGACTGAACGGTTTTACCCTCCATGATCGCCAGATCCAACGACCCGCGCTGGCCGCCAGGCGTCACAAAAGGACACGGCTTCCTCTTTTGCGTCACTGAGCCACTCGCCCAGAAGAGCCTCGGGGACGTAGTCGGTCACCTCGGCTGCCGTGCCAAGGCTACGTGGGTAGAGAGATTAGCCTCTGGTAATATAACTGGGATATCAAAGATTCCACAACCTTGGGTTTTAATGGGAATTGAGCCAGTTGGGTGATCATGATCAATTTTATGGGGATATCAGGGGGCTAAACCCTCGACTCGAACAGTTTGCTATTAAAAACGGCCCGTTTACTTTGTTGATTTACCTATTTGTAGTTGGTGATTGTCCATAGCTACGTTAGTTTACCAGAGGTTACATTTTTTTGGAGGATAAAGATGGAAATGGGTATGGCGATTAATTGGGATATATAGAATGGTGAGAAAAAAAACATGTTGAATGGGATACTATGGGGATACTTATATATATATACGTGATTTTCCTGCGAGGACTATAGCCACGTAACCAACAATATGATATTTGGGTAAAATGGGATATAAAAAGAGGAATGCCATCTATAATTATAGTTGGGATATATGATGTATGGGGGATTTGTTTGACCAACCATATGATTCGGGTGTGTCTGAAGACTGGTAGCTATACTCCGCCCCTAACGTTGATACAGTATTTTTTGTGGGAAACACTTCTCAGTACTGTAACCTGTGGATTTTGCACAATGGGCCCCAAATGTACGGAATCAGTGGTGCAAATGAAAGGGGATACAGTACAAGTGAGGAAAAATATGGCATGAATATGAATGGGATAGAATGGGATCCCTCATATCACTGTTCAATATAATGGGATATAATGGGATAGAATGGGATCCCTCATACTTCATGAATGATCCATATCACTGTTCTACCCAGTACACCCCGTCCTGTGGGGAAACCCCGTGCTCCAGTGACTTTCCATCACTGTCGAGGTCCCAGAAATTCTGGGGCCCCAATTCCCAATTCGACTCGTCGGATGACAACTTTTTTCTGTCACTCCGAAGTGCCGGGAATAACCATCTCAAAATATCTCAAAATATCTCAAAATATCTCAAAATACCACTTCATACTCCAATCAAGAACTCATCTCCCAGAAAAACATCTCAAGTTGTCCTTAATCCCACAAATCTAGGTTTCGCCCCTTTCCATTTTGAACTCCCAACATCAACATCGCAATTGTTTGCTATATAGTTCTATCATCATATAGATGATTTCTATCCCATTACAGGTGCTATCCCAATTATAGACATAGATTGTTGATGTTCCATTATACCCACAGCATACCCAAATACCACCATCTATTGATGGTCTGAACAATCCCATAAAAATGATCATATCCCATACATTTTAAATGCTTCTTTAACTTATTCTAATATCCAATTTTTCCCCCCAACTATCAGAAAATCAACCCCCAATTATCAGCCCGTTTCCATCACGTCTCGTTACCGAGATGGACAACTTCTCCGGTTTCGCCACGACCTTCTTCCAGTGTCGCACCCGGTCCGTCCCGTCGCCCTTGCCATACCCGAAGCCGTCCAGTTTCCTACGAGCCAAGGCGGGTTGAAAATGTGATCCGGATTCACATTATAGACATAATTCAACAATATTAAACATATGTAGACATTGTTTTTTGTAATCAAACATCATACATATATATATATATATACATATACATATCATTCTGGAGGTGAAAAGCCGATGATATTCCGGATTGGGGGATGAACATCATGGCGACCCAGGAGTGGGAGCAGGTAGGAATGGTGAAAAGCTGGCGAAATTATAGTTCTGAAAGAGAAATTGTGTCAGAAAAGATATCCTTGGTTGAATCAATCCTCATTTGTTGACACTTGATGGGAACAAGAGATTTCTTTGCAGGGCTATAAATATCTATAAATCCATCTTTCCAACTGGCTAGATCCCCAGAAGGTGTGATCCCAAAAGTAACGCCAGCAACACAAAATCCCAGTGTCTTTCCATCCAAGATCAGCTTTATCACAAAGCTGTTCCTCGGTCCGGTGCACGAATCCATGCAAGATTGCTGTAGCCCCATGAGCAGTGCCCCAACCTGCCATCATCCCCATTTCACCAATAATGAAATTCTCACTTCGTCCACCTAGTATGAAGCTGTATACTTAACCATGCTATAACCAACAGGGTGCATGGCTCAAGTAGAATGTTCAGCCTAAAACAGACTCAAATTTCAAGAATATGGTGGATGTTAAATTTTGCAAAACAAAAAGTTGCGAAAATACCAAAAATGAGTCTTTTGTTGCCGGGCAGATATGAATCGAGTTTCCTGAATTTTCCTGAATCAATTAAGGGCCCCGGTTGCTTTATTCTGAATCAAAATAGGGAACTTAAACAACTCCAACAGTTTTTGAAGGAAAGAATGCTACTGTTGCAGGAAACCACCCCTGTTTTTACCGAGCCAAATTCGTAAGGTTCCTCCAAAAACAAAAAAAACAGGGAAAAAAAAACAGGTAGTTCCGGGTTTTCCAGTATAAAATGGAGTAAACCCAATAATCAACTCCCAATGTTGGATTGATGGTTAATACCCACCCGGAAAAAAATAAAAAAACGTTAAATTGGGATGCATACCCTAAAACTATGGTGAACTATATCCACTTAGTTCACTTACGAACTCCCCCACGATGTCAGTTTTTGTCAGAAAAAAAATCGAGCCAAGAGGCGCATCCAACTCAGTGATCTGAAGTTCCTTCTTTAAGCCCTCGGTAATGGGATCCATGGGGTACCTGCGGCCCCAAAGTTCTCAAAGGCTGCACCGATCTCAGTCCCATCCCCATATTTGATCTGCGGGCACCAAACAAAATTCATCATTAATCAAAAACATCTGCTAAAAAAACTCCCGACAAGAGACCCCAAACAGTGTGGGGGAGTTGGGAGGATAATGTATGATAATGTGGAGGATGATGATGATGATGATGATGATGATTGAGAATGAGTCCAGAAAGCAGACGAACATTTTGTGCGAGCCTGCGCAGGCAAAACGCACGCCAAGATTTCACAAGAGCCACTTTACACAGAAATTTACAAGTAAAATGCCGAGCCCAGAACGCGGAGGAACACTTTGTGCGAGCCTGCGCAGTAGAAACGCAAGTCAAGATTTCACAAGGGCCACTTTATACAGAAATTTAGAGGTAAAATGCGGCAGACCAAAACCGCGCTGCAGACTTTGTGCAAGCCTGCGCAATCGAAACGCATGTCAAGATTTCACAAGAGCCACTTTATACAGAAATTTACAGGTAAAATGCTGCGGCCAGAGTGAGCACCCTGATCAAGCACCAGCCTTTTTACACTTACCGTAAGAACCCCTCAGTGTGGACACACTGTTTGGGGGGAAAAAACATGTCACCCCTGGGCCCCATCTCTGTTTTGTTTCAAAATGGTGAAAATTTCAGTGAAATCTGCAGCTCCAATCTCCGCCTGAGAAGTGCAACGGTCTCCTCGAAGGCCTCCTTGCAATTGATTGGTGGATCCAAGGCATCCAACGGGCCCGAAATGATGCCTGAGCCGCTGCTGCCCCGGTAAGATCACTGGAAGGTGAGAAAATACTCCGTTTTTGGAATAACTTTTCGGTGAAGACCAAGCCACCTGAGATATGACGAGACCCTGGTTGGTAGAAGGTGAGGCCCCAACGAAATCACCAAGTTGACGCACATCACTTGCTTAACGTTTGGGTTTATAGACTTAATAATGGGGTTTTTAAAAACTAACCCACATAACTGGGGGGGCTCACCTTGCACAGTTTATATATGTATGTGCATCACAAACCTGGTATATACCCTTCTGCTTACACCAGAATGTTGGTTGTTATGGATGTGCATCTCCCAGTTCACATAAGGGCTTTGTATCAATCTATTCCCATGTCCTCACCTTTGAGTGGTGAGTCATCCCAATTTTCATCCATCACATCCATATCTTGATATTGGCATATTGGGTATGCCCTCCCACCAACACTTCAACCCTGAGGGCGCATCCCCAGGTTCCAGCCAGCTGGCTCTGAAGCCCCGGTTGGGAGGACTCTTGTTCAGCCATGAGCTCAACACCGTGCGAGGCCTCAGAGAAGGAATTGATGATCCAATGAAAAACCACATGGCTCTGGAAAGTATGGGAAAACCACGAGAATCCAAAGGTTTTGGCGATGATCACAGATGTTGTTTCTTGCCCAACTTCAAATCCTTTTTCTTGGGCATGTATCCAATGGCTGCGACCCTCCGCCAAGCCACGCCCATGGCCGCTATGCCCAAAAATGCACAACCACCGGCGATGAAAAATGGCTTGCTGCGGAGCTGGTAGATCTACACAAAAGCTGCGGGGTCTTTCAGGGTGGGTGGTAAATTTCCCTATGAATACCTCCATGAAGATGAATGATGTTTGTTGTGACCCAAGATTTTGTCCAGGCCTGGAGGATCTGAAGGAAGAGCAGACTGAAATCCCTAGAATCTCGGTTGAAATACCCATTCTTGCCATTTAAAATCACCACGTTGGCGACTTGGAATCACCATTTTTTGCTGAATGAAATCATTTTTGGTTGGTTTAAACTAATTACTCAAAACCAGTAATACCCCCATTATGGTTGGTATGCTCCCACTGCATACCCCACACTATATATCGAATTTTCGCTACACCATTCCCTTTCAAGAAAAGTGCGAGACTCTCCCCCCCGGCCTCCAATGGCTGCACCTGCGATGTAGGGGCACCCAAACATCTGGTGACTTGAACCAGCAAAAATGGTTGTATCATCTTAACATATGTAGTTAGAAATATCCATCTACATCCACTGGTTATTTAACGTAGCTATGCCAAACGGCCCATGGAATAGATGGCTTAGGCCTGCGGGTGGACAACCGAACGTGTAGCTGTCACTATTTTAGGGTCGGGTGGGGTGGAGTATTAACGTCCTTGGTAGCAAGAACTCCCAACTACGTTACTGACTTCTTTCATTCCAACTATGTTGCCATCTTCTCTATCAACTTCCAACTGCGCTAGCACTCCTTGTTAGACATCTTCCGAGTACGTTGTTATCTTCTCTATCAATTTCCAACTACGTGAGCATCTCTTGCAACTTATCGTCCAGCTACGCTGTTATCTTCTCTATCAACTTTCAACTACATTAGCATCCCTTGTAAGACATCTTCCTAGTACGTTGTTATCTCTTCTCTATCAACTTCCAGCTCGGTGAGCATCTCTTGTAAGTTATCTTCCAAGTACTTTGTTATCTTCTCTATCAACTTCCAACTATGGTAGCATCCCGTGTAAGACATCTGCCAAGTCCCCTGTTATCTTCTCTAACAACTTCCAACTACGGTAGCATCCCTAGTAAGACATCTTCCAAGTACGTTGTTATATGAAGTTCCAACTACGTTAGCATCCCTTGTAAGACATCTTCCTAGTACGTTGTTATCTTCTTTATCAACTTCCAACTACACGAGCATCTCTTGCAAGTTATCTTCCAACGTTGCTATCTTCACTATCAACGTTCAACTACGTTAGCATCCCTTGTAAGACATCTTCCAAGTACGTTGCCATCTTCTCTATCAACTTCCAACTTTGTTTTCCCTTGTAAGACATCTTCCTAGTACGTTGTTATCTTCTCTATCAACTTCCAGCTCCGTGAGCATCTTTTGTAAGTTATATTTCCAAGTACGTTGTTATCTTCTCTGTCAACTTCCAGCTCCGTGAGCATCTCTTGTAAGTTATCTTCCAAGTACGTTGTTGTCTTCTCTGTCAACTTCCAGCTCCGTGAGCATCTCTTGTAAGTTATCTTCCAAGTACGTTGTTATCTTCTCTGTCAACTTCCAGCTCCGTGAGCATCTCTTGTAAGTTATCTTCCAAGTACGTTGTTGTCTTCTCTGTCAACTTCCAGCTCCGTGAGCATCTCTTGTAAGTTATCTTCCAAGTACGTTGTTATCTTCTCTATCAACTTCCAGCTCCGTGAGCATCTTTTGTAAGTTATATTTCCAAGTACGCTGTTATCTTCTCTGTCAACTTCCAGCTCCGTGAGCATCTCTTGTAAGTTATCTTCCAAGTACGTTGTTGTCTTCTCTATCAACTTCCAGCTCCGTGAGCATCTCTTGTAAGTTATCTTCCAAGTACGTCAACTTCCAGCTCCGTGAGCATCTCTTGTCTATCAACTTCAGCTCCTTCCAGCTTGTAAGTGAGAAGCACGAGTACATCTTCTCTATCAACTTCCAGCTCCGTGAGCATCTCTTGTAAGTTATCTTCCAAGTACGTTGTTGTCTTCTCTATCAACTTCCAGCTCCGTGAGCATCTCTTGTAAGTTATCTTCCAAGTACGTTGTTGTCTTCTCTATCAACTTCCAGCTCCGTGAGCATCTCTTGTAAGTTATCTTCCAAGTACGTTGTTGTCTTCTCTATCAACTTCCAGCTCCGTGAGCATCTCTTGTAAGTTATCTTCCTAGTACATTGTTATCTTCTCTATCAACTTCCAGCTCCGTGAGCATCTCTTGTAAGTTATCTTCCAACTACGTGAGCATCTTCTCTATCAACTTCCAGCTCCGTGAGCATCTCTTGTAAGACATCTTCCTAGTACGTTGTTATCTTCTCTATCAACTTCCAGCTCCGTGAGCATCTCTTGTAAGTTATCTTCCAAGTACGTTGTTATCTTCTCTATCAACTTCCAGCTCCGTGAGCATCTTTTGTAAGTTATATTTCCAAGTACGTTGTTATCTTCTCTGTCAACTTCCAGCTCCGTGAGCATCTCTTGCAAGTTATCTTCCAAGCACGTTGTTATCTTCTCTATCAACTTCCAGCTCCGTGAGCATCTCTTGTAAGTTATCTTCCAAGTACGTTGTTGTCTTCCCTATCAACTTCCAGCTCCGTGAGCATCTCTTGTAAGACATCTTCCTAGTACGTTGTTATCTTCTCTATCAACTTCCAGCTCCGTGAGCATCTCTTGTAAGTTATCTTCCAAGTACGTTGTTATCTTCTCTATCAACTTCCAGCTCCGTGAGCATCTTTTGTAAGTTATATTTCCAAGTACGTTGTTATCTTCTCTGTCAACTTCCAGCTCCGTGAGCATCTCTTGCAAGTTATCTTCCAGTACGTTGTTGTCTTCCCTATCAACTTCCAGCTCCGTGAGCATCTTTTGTAAGTTATCTTCCAAGTACGTTGTTATCTTCTCTATCAACTTCCAGCTCCGTGAGCATCTTTTGTAAGTTATATTTCCAAGTACGTTGTTATCTTCTCTGTCAACTTCCAGCTCCGTGAGCATCTCTTGCAAGTTATCTTCCAAGTACGTTGTTGTCTTCCCTATCAACTTCCAGCTCCGTGAGCATCTTTTGTAAGTTATATTTCCAAGTACGTTGTTATCTTCTCTGTCAACTTCCAGCTCCGTGAGCATCTCTTGTAAGTTATCTTCCAAGTACGTTGTTGTCTTCCCTATCAACTTCCAGCTCCGTGAGCATCTTTTGTAAGTTATATTTCCAAGTACGTTGTTATCTTCTCTGTCAACTTCCAGCTCCGTGAGCATCTCTTGTAAGTTATCTTCCAAGTACGTTGTTGTCTTCCCTATCAACTTCCAGCTCCGTGAGCATCTCTTGTAAGTTATCTTCTCATCTTCCAAGTACGTTGTTATCTTCTCTATCAACTTCCAGCTCCGTGAGCATCTTTTGTAAGTTATATTTCCAAGTACGTTGTTATCTTCTCTGTCAACTTCCAGCTCCGTGAGCATCTCTTGCAAGTTATCTTCCAAGTACGTTGTTGTCTTCCCTATCAACTTCCAGCTCCGTGAGCATCTTTTGTAAGTTATCTTCCAAGTACGTTGTTATCTTCTCTATCAACTTCCAGCTCCGTGAGTGTAAGTTATCTTTACGTTATCTTCTCTATCAACTTCCAGCTCCGTGAGCATCTCTTGTAAGTTATCTTCCAAGTACGTTGTTGTCTTCTCTATCAACTTCCAGCTCCGTGAGCATCTCTTGTAAGTTATCTTCCAAGTACGTTGTTATCTTCTCTGTCAACTTCCAGCTCCGTGAGCATCTCTTGTAAGTTATCTTCCAAGTACGTTGTTGTCTTCTCTGTCAACTTCCAGCTCCGTGAGCATCTCTTGTAAGTTATCTTCCAAGTACGTTGTTATCTTCTCTATCAACTTCCAGCTCCGTGAGCATCTTTTGTAAGTTATATTTCCAAGTACGTTGTTATCTTCTCTGTCAACTTCCAGCTCCGTGAGCATCTCTTGTAAGTTATCTTCCAAGTACGTTGTTGTCTTCCCTATCAACTTCCAGCTCCGTGAGCATCAGATGGTAAATTCCCACTGAATCCCATTCAATCCCCATTTCTTGATGGTTAAACGGTTAAACCACCATTTTAAGGATGTCTTAAGGCACCAACATGAAACAATCTCATATCCATTTGGTCATCAAATCCCCCCAAATGCCTTGCCAGCCGACACGACAGGGATGGCAGTCATGGTCAGAGGGCCTCAAGTTTCAAGAGCGAAAAACAAGGGAGGATACTGATGCTGGACATAATGTGGATGGAAGAAATCTTTGTTAACACGGCAGAGGGATTCCTATGACACATTGCAAACAAGGAAAATTATAACGGGATAAATCATCTACCAAAAAAGTAGCTTAAGTAAGGTTTATAAATATAGTTAATGGGATTTATAAACCAACTTATAACTTGGGGGCACCATCCTGCAAAGTGTTTTCTTCATAGCTCACATCAACCCCATTCCTTTCGTGTACGCCCAGGGCTCGGTGCCTTGTGCCTGCGCCAGCTGCGCCAGGGCTTCCGCCGTTTTCTCCGCGCCGCAAAGGTGCGAAGCGGGACCTGGGACAAAGCACTGAATTTCACCAGCCAAGAAGACATGGCATTTACCATTTAACGCAAAAAATGCAGATTTCAGTCGCAACAATTTGGGAATTTCACATGATATGATATAACAAACTTGGAAACGGAACATGTCCACCCTTTTGTTGGAGGGACCCGTGATTTTAGCACCCTGGATGGCTGCACCTGGCATCACCGGCATCGCAGGTTTGGGAGGCGGCACCCAACCATCAACTGGGCTCTCCTGGGGTCATGAGTCATGGTTCCAGGAAATTGTTTGGGTTCTCCAAGAAAATACCGGCGAAATTGAAACATCTACTGTGGTCCCTCATGATTACCCATTTTTGGGTGATCCCAATTCCGACCCATACCTTGGAACCAGTTTTTCATTCTTTCAGGCCCATGATCATATGTGCCATGGTCAAGACATGTCAAGACATGGTATATGGATCATGGTCATCCAATAATGCGAATCCTGAAATACTGGGTATATAAAGCCGTATTGATGGATTGATGATCATCCCGGTTGAAATTGGCATATGAAATATGTTGAAAATGGCACATATAAAACCTCAGCTCCAAAAATGCAAGAAACGCCCGTCCACCCGTCCTCCGTTGAGGGACCCACGGCGCTTCCCGTTGGCTCCAGCGGTTCGTCGACGTCGTCCTCCTCTTCAGATGCTACGGGGGTGACCTGAGCGGAGGGTTTTTTGGTGCATTTTTGGAGAAATGACCTATGATTATTATCATTTTTGCTACTATTAGTATCATATTTTTTTCAATATGATCATTGTTATTATCATTATTACCATTATTATCATTATTATTTTTACTATTATTATTATTGCTACTATTATTTTTATATTATTCTTATTCATATTCTTATTATAATTATTGGTGAATAATTCAAATAGTATCAAGCTTAGCTGTAAAAATGATGAGTTGTTACTATATCCGGGGAAAAACATTTTAGAATTGCCATTCTAGGGGGTAAAGTGCCAACTGGTAATAAAGTGGTAATAAATTGGCAATAAATGGTGAAAATATTAGAATGTCTTCAATATCCAAATTCTAATAGTACCGTATGCCCAATAGGAACTAGTAGACGAATGGTATCCAATTATCGTCGTTATAATGGGAATCAATGGGGAATAATAGGAAAATAATGGGAATCAATGGGGAACAATGGAAAATCATGGGAAGCAATGGGGAATCGATGGGGAATCAGATGATTTTTTTGTTTGAGATTTTGAGGAAATTTGGGGGATACTTAGTATGTAAATATTCAGCACTATTTTGGGGGAAGTTTCGGAAGCAATAGGGATTACTACTTGGAAATGAAATTCGGTAACCAATGGGGATTGCTGGCACGAGTACTCAACAGTCAACAGATCAACGAAGACTGTTCGAAGGAAGTTTAGAAGTCAAACTTCAGACAATATGCACAGATGGAAAAGCAGAGGTGGGAAGAGTCAGAGAGGCGAAGAGTCGAAGAGAGAAGATCAGAGAAGAGAAAGAGTGAGAAGAAAGAAGTTGCACGCCGTTGTGGCGCGCAGCACATTTGCAAGTCAAAATGTACAAAACACACCAACATCGGACCACTTTTTACAAAACCCTCACGCTTTTCTCACTTTTGACAAGGTGCACAATCCCCTGCGCCTGCCACGCAAAACGACATCTGCACGTCCAAAAGTGCTCCGTACCCGTCAGTTTTTTGCACTTTTGACTTCGACATGCGCTTCGCGCAACAACGGCGTACATTTTTTCGACACCTCAACTTCCAAAAGTAGTCCGGAGCTGGTGTGTCTTGTACATTTTGACTTGGACATGTGCTTCCCCTCACAACGGTGTGCACTTTTTCGGCATCTCAACTTCCAAAAGTTGTCCGAGAATGGTGTGTTTTGTACAGTTTGACATCGAAATGTGCCTCGCGCCATCACAGCATGCACTTTTTCGACATCTCAACTTCCAACAGTGGTCTGACGTTGGTGTGCTTTGTACATTTTGACTTGGAAATGTGCTTCGCGCCACAACGGCGTTCACTTTTTCGACATCGCAGCAGTTTCAAAAACAATGGCAGACCTGGGGCATTTGAGGAGATCAGGGCGGAGATTTCCTGAGAGGGGTTGCATTTTGGAGCATGAGATCTTCAGGTTTGCTAAGATGATTTTGCATGACAGGTGCAGCACTTCGTATGACCTGGCATCACCTTTGCGTGGCAGGCGCAGTAGTTTAGACAGATGGAGTGGAAAAATCACAAGACGCACTGGTAAGAGGCCGTCAGCTCTGCACTCAACGTTCTATTTTTGAAGGAAGTCTCGCAGAATTGCTTCGTTTTTGATGTTGTCAACTTGGAAAATTATTGAGGAGTCTCGCAGAATTTCTTTGTTTTTGACGTTGTCAACTTCAAAATTGAAGAAGTCTCGCAGAATTGCTGTGCTTTTTGATGTTGTCAAATTCAAAAACTGAGGAAGTCTCGCCGAATAGCTTCGTTTTCAAGCTTGCAGGTAGACAGATAGATAGATAGACAACTACAACTACAAGTGCCACTACCACTACCACTGCAAACACAAGGTAGAAAAGGTCGAGCAAGGGATCGTGCTAGAGCGATGTCTCACATTATTAAGTTTTGTAAGTTACACCACAACTGAAACCAAGGGTTTGTTCGCTCTGTGTCTCGTCTGTGCAAATGTTACCTGCTTGCTGTCGAACTGTCTAGATGGAAAGATGAAGAACTAGATAGATGGATGGATGAAATGCTTCGGTACTTAAATGGATAGAATGAATAGCTGGATGAGCAGATAGATAGCTAGATAGATGGATAGACCGCACGACGACAAACAGACAGAGAGACAAGTAAATGGACAGATCTCGAAAAAGAGAGAAGTAGAAAGAAACATAGACAGATGGACACATAGACAAAAATAGGATGATGGATGGACGCCTGCATACGTAGACAAATCGAGAGCTAAGCAGATGGATGGAAAGACAGAGAGATGGATATGTTGACAGACAGATAGATCAGTAGACAAAAAGAAGGATGGATGGATGGATGGATGGATCGATCGATCGATAGATAGATAAGTAGATAGATAGATAGCTAGGTAGATAGATAGATAGGTAGATAGATAGATAGATAGGTAGATAGATAGATAGGTAGATAGATAGGTAGATCGATCGATCGATAGATCGATCGATAGATAGATAGATAGGTAGGTAGGTAGAAAAATAAATAGATATATTATATTAGATAGATTAGATAGATTAGATAGATTAGATAGATTAGATAGATTAGATAGATTAGATAGATTAGATTAGATAGATTAGATAGATTAGATAGATTAGATATATTAGATAGATAGATTAGGTAGATAGATAGATTAGATAGATAAGATGGATACGATAGATAAGATAGATAAGATAGATAAGATCGACAAGATAGAAAAGATAGATGTGAAAGATAGAATAGATAGAATAGATAGATTAGATAGGTAGATAGACAGGTAGATAGGTAGATAGATAGATAGATATATAGATAGATAGACAGATTAGATTAGATTAGATTAGATTTGGTTAGATTAGATTAGGTTAGGTTAGGTTAGATGCATAGATAGATAGACAGAAAAGAAGGATGGATAGATGGATAGATGGATAGATAGATGGATAGATAAATAGATAGATAGATAGATAGATGGATGGATGGATAGATAGATGGATGGATAGATGGATAATTCGACATTCCAACCATCTTGCGGTCCATCAGTGGATTCGATCTGCCATCCGTGATTCACAACAACCAAGCTCTCCTATAGGTTTCCTATTTTTGAAACTTCCGCCACCGCCTTGTGCGGTACTACTGGTATCTTTGCTACAAAAAGAATGGTGGGGGTTTAACCAACAACAAGTGGGAAGATTAGTTGTAAGGATGTGTATTAACCAACAAAAGAATTGGACTTCTTTGCTAAAAGATTGGGAGTTTGGGTTGGGAGTTACCTGCAACAATTGGACCTCATTGGCTTTCAGGAACATGACGATGTAACAAGCAGGGGCCAGGGATGACGAGTAAGTCATCAGCTCGTTGGGACTCTCTTACCACAGATTTCATGGGGTTGTGTTGCCAAAAATGAGGAATCAAAATGATTCAGCCATCAAAAACTGCTCCCCATCTTTGGGGAATGAACCATCAGTTTCTTGCTAGTTTTCATAATAGTTAACCCTCCCAAAATTCCATCCAAGTCGCTGGCTCCAAGTTCTTCCAGTGCATCGCAGCCGGTGCCGTTCTGGCAAAGTCTTTGGGCACTTTGGGCTCGGGACAGGTCAACCAGGCGCCCACTGCGGCCGGTGGCTCCTCCACCGGCACCACCGGCACCACCGGCACCACCGGCACCACGGCTGGTGCTGCCGGTGCCTCGGTGGCACCGAAGCGTTCTGCGCGGCGCTGCCGCACGCGACTCAGGGCGGCTTGGCGCTTCAGGGTGGCTTCGTCGTTGTAGGGCGACATGAGGATGGCCTAGCACCGCAGGGAACTTGGGGGATGAAGGGGGAACTTGGAATCTTTCGAAGCCCTAGAGATTTTGGGGGGATCACGAAATGCTCAAGGACCTGCACCAATGGTGGTGCGGTTTTCGTCCTGGCAAGGTCAACATGAACGGGGTTCCCGAACAAAGCCCTAGCACCCGCAAAATGGCAAATCCACTATATAAATTAGGTAGCCATATTCTATGGCATTAGTTTCTGCAAAAAGTGGAGATTGTTGATTGGGCTTACTGTAAGCTCAATAAACCATCCCCAATGACCGCATGAGTGACAAAAGGGCATGATCTGTTTAACCCATTCATACAGAATCCACAATAAGAAACCATGAGCAGTTCATATTAGTGAATACCTTTACAACCAGGATGATTTCAAATTTCGCCCCAGAAATGATATAATTTCCAATGTGGAAATGGAATTGTTTAAGCATTGTGCATCCTCATTATTCGCATATGGAGGAGATACAGCTGGCAGAGTCTTGGATTTGCTTAAGGAACCCCCTTAAGCAAAACTATCATATCCTAAAATATTCTCTATAGATTCCCCAAGTAGTGGATTTTCCATTGAAAAAAACAAAAACACAAATCAACAAATCCTTCGGTCGTCGCCTCCGGCGCTTTCTTTCGCACCTGAGGACCCTCCAGACGTTTGTCCTCTGGTCGTCCATGCTGCTCCGCCACAAACTGCCGCACCGCCGCGCGACGTTGCGTCACGGAGAGCGGCATGGATGGTAACTTGGATCTGGGGATTTACCACCCATTAACTTATCAATTATATGAATGAATGATTGTCCGATATGTTCCATGGTTATATATGTTAGTTTACTGGATGGTGGGTTTTAATTTGGGCCCCAAGTTATCATCCAAGTGATTCTTCATAGCTAGCACCCCCAAGTTTGAGAAGACGAAGATTTGACGGAAAATGATCCGTGCTATTTGACATCGCGTGGAGGAAGTTCCCCACTGGGTCTATTGCAGTTACAACTGGTAAGACCAGCTACTGAACACTTACCGAATCAGATGATCGGCCGAATGCAGCACTCGTGGACGGGTTTGGGGATTCAGGGCATCAAGTAATGAGGATCTTGAGTCAGTTTCACTCTAGTCTGACAACTCTTGAAGGTATATAATAAGTCTAATAAATGGTTCGTAGAGGCATATCCCTCACTATCTCCCAATTAGAACAGGGCTTAAAACCAAGTTTTTTAACATGAGCGAAATCGCAGCCAGATTCCACTTCAACATCAAGGCAAGCAAATTTGCGTTGTATCCCAAAATAACAATTTCACTTCGTACAGTAAAAATGATGATAAAAAAATATGATAAACTGAGAAACATTTGAATTTGCGGGAGTTTTGGGTGGGACAGACCCACATCTGCATGAACTTTGAAGATGTCTGCGGCAACACTGGTGTCTTGGCTATAACGGCTACAAGTGGTTACCTGGATGGAACTCTGGAACTCTGTCAGAACCCAAGTAGAGCGAACCCCAGCAGCAAAACTCACCACCAAAGGAGAAGGTTGAGCATGTGATGCATATAGGATTCTGACTCATGGTCTCTTTGAAAACAGCCTTTCGAATACAAAATCTGAGGGAAAAAACACCATTCCCCGCTGGTGACCTATAATTTACCAACAGATTGTTGGAGCAACCCTGATATAACTGGTATTTCACATTATTTCATAGGAGTTCCCATGCAATTTGGAGGCCCATCACAGTGCTTGGCGTTTCGTCAAACGTTGCCGCAGCAGCTCTTTCCAAGCCTTGACTCGTCAATCCTACGCCTAAAGACTCAACGAGAGTTCCCGAGTGAAATGGGGGTATGGCTCAAAATGGACTTGTGGAGCGATAAATTGCACTGTTTTCTTAAGCCTTCCTTAAGTTATCCCACTAAGCCAGTGGATAGTGAAGTTTTATGTCCTCATTCCGATGCTTCTGGTGGAGACTGAAACGCAATCCGTATTCAGACCTGGGGGTCCAACCATTTTGAGACATACCCATTTTGAAATCTCCCAGGCACCACAAAAGTTGAGCAACTTTTAAAGCTTGGACACCCTGAAACTTGTGTAATGCATGGCCACAGTTGCATGACAAAACACTCTGCACGGTCTCCCAAAATGGATGCTTCAACACCAACAACAGTCATTTCATCTGTGGTTTTCAGGACCTCAAAATGGGTTTGTCAGTATATATTGTCCACCAAAATGTTCATGCTATTGGTACCCGTGGCATCCCCCAATTTCCACGACCCAACTGGAGAACAGCAACTGCCTTGGCCCCTTAGCGTTGGCACAGGGTGCACACGTCCTGTCTCGTCGTGCTGGTGACACGGCACCTTCGAAAGTTTCCCCCAGAAACCGTCGCCGCTTCCGTGGCGAAGCTTGGGAACGTACCCTATCCTGCGGGGTGGTTGAGCCACCAAAAATATCTAACTGTCATTGGGGATCATCAAAGATCTCAGTTCTATGGTTGAAAGTCAAAAATCTGTGAAACCACGAACCCTTTATCCCCCAAACGAAGGCTATTGGGTAACTCTATCGTACGCTTCTGTTTGGGGATTTCCAACAGACCTAGGAGTAGCGAACCGTTCAGCAAAGTAGCAAAAAAAGAGCCCGTTCACCTAGCCAAGCAAGGTTTAAGTGTGTACCACACCTTTCTCCAGAAACTGGATGTTTTTTTTGGGGGGGGTTCGCCATTGCGAGGTAAGCGACCACTGGCTGGTGGGTGAAACATGGCTTTTCCTTTGCATCTTATACTGGCACGGCTGAGGTCATATGGGACGGATCCACCTCATGTCTGCCATTCTGGTCGTGGGATACATGCATATAATATATATATATATAATATACACATGCATTTAAAATATAATAGCCTGTGAATATATGATATGCATTCAATGTATACAATTTAATTATATTACATATAATGTATGTATTCAAAGTGTTTTGAATACGCACATACATACAAGTACTACTATTGATATCCGAGTTGATATCTATGCCTTTGGATGAAATGATGATAGCTGTGGACCCCAGTCAACTCCAGTCGCCCGGTCGTCTGCAAAGAATTATGACGTGCATAAAACGATACAAAACGAGACGAGTAGACGAGTGCTAAGACCCAAACAACTGCGTTAGCAAGAATGTGTCTTTGTAGAAAACAATCCAAAAACAAACTAACAAACTCTGGATGACATGCCTCGCAAAAAATAAAAAAAAATGACCAGTCCATCTCGCTCAATCTCAGCATCGGATCCGCTGCAGGACGCAGCGCACAAAAAATGAATTTTGGGCGCAAGCAGGGCTGGGTGAAGAACGGGATGCTCGGTTGGTTCATGGATGATGATAATCCCGAATGTTAGTTATGCAATGTCATAACCACCCATATGGGTTGATAGTTTATACCACCCCCCCAAAAAAAAAGTGATTTGGGGGATGGTTTACTGTTACTTTACCCACATCAATTGATCTTAAGGGTAGGTTAACAACCCCCGAACTGATTATCAACGAACAGGGTTTGAATACTGGAATATTATTGTTCATTTCGGGTTCCCTGCGAATGGATAGTACAGGTACGTGAAGGTTATCAAAAACGGGATGGGTATTGACGTATGATACATATGCGTTTGCCTAAAAATCAGGTCCCCCAAAACACGTATCATGGTTCATACATTTTTCCTCTAAAACATGCGATTTTCAGGTACATGCTGTACCCCATTTCTGGTTAAACTCAGGTAGGACTAGGAGTTGATTTAAGAAGGATGGGCACTGATCATGGTGGAGAACCGAGAACTCTGAGCTCTGCTGCATGCCAGTGCATGGTATGTCCCCTGCGGTCCAGGAAGCATTTCTTCATGCTCAGCGCCAACACGCGCCGTGACCACAGACACGTCCGTCACAAAAATCCAGAGAGTTTTTATGAGTGCCTCAAAAAAAATGTATTTTGAACCCTTCCAAAACAAAAACCATGACATCACTTTCAAACTGTTGTTCATCTTTGCCCAGCGTTTCAATCCATCTTCTCCAAATTCGTCTTTGTTTCGGGGTTCAACTTTCCATAACTGTCCATAACTTTTTCCAGAGTTTTGGCTCAAAGTTCTGTTTTCGGAGCTTTTTGCAGCTCCAGCACATAGGCCATATGCCAATGATATCCCAGCAGCAGGTCGCGGCCATCCTCAGACGTACCGAAACGGCTGCTGCCCGGCACGGTGGCCCCGAGGAACAAACGACACCCGGCCACTTCGTGGGGCGTGTCGCGCTGGTTCTTCGTCGCTAAAAGATGATCTAAGGAGTTCGGGCCAGCGTACCAGGCTTTCCAAGCGATTTCCTGGATCTGTTTGTGAAACAAAGGGGATCTATACGGGGAGATAAGGATGTATGTATACTATATATATATATATACAATATATATATATATATATATATGTATCTGTATATGTATAGTCCAACAATTTTCAGTACGGCACATACGTGGTTATGGGTCAAAACCCTGGTACCGAAACGGTACACTACGTCATAGTTGGTGAATGAATGTTTATGATGTTTATTCCCCAAAATATAAATCCTGGGTAGCTTGACCAATCCCCATGTCCCATCAAGTGCTCCAAGGATCTCTTTCCAGCAAGACCTTCAGTGCGCACCCATTCTTCACCGTCCTTTCCAGCGCCTCCAACACAGCCGGAGCCTTGAGTGTCAATGAGGAGACCATCAGCACCAGCTTCGTGCCGGGCCTGAGCTGCGAAAAAACTGGGAGTTAAAAAAATGGGAGAAAATCCCGAGAAACCATGGAAAAAAATCATGAAAAACCCATGGAAAAACCCATGAAAAACAGAGGAAAACCATGGAAAAACCCACCAGAAACTGCGATTTAAGTTATTTAACAATCAAAATATTGGATTCAATAATTTGAAGATTTGGGGTGAAACGCGAGAAAGAGTGTTGCCCCCAAAATGAGGACTTCACAAGCAACACTTTTGATTGGCCAGAAATGGTATATTTTGCCACCAAACGACTGGGATTCCACACATAGTGTTTGCCTCTAAAACCAAGGGGATTCAACACCACAAAATCATGAATTCCAGGGAATGATTTAACTGATATAACCAACAAATACTCTGATATCACTGTAGCTTACACATGCCTGGTATCCAACAACCCAGAAGTTCATCAATTTGTGTCAATTTTTGCGACCATTCAGGTGGCAAATTCAACCAGCGTAGCTCCAAACTTAATCTTCCACATCCCCAAGATTGTCACGCACCCGCAAAGCGGGGAAGAACACCGTTCAACCCTCGGCATTTTGTTCCAAAAATCGGCAATGGATCAGGTTTTCACATCAAAAACAACCGGTGCATTTCGATGCTCCATTCCACCCCCTGGTTGATCATCGAGCCGTGATGCTTTGCGCGTTGCGCCAAAAGATCTAGGAGGAACACCACCAGTCCGACACCCTCCCAAAATCCGCCTGGCACGGTATGGTGATAGTAGCAGCCGCATTCAGTCCAGCCAAAATGTGCAGAGGTGACCATGCCAGGAAGCTCCTCTGTATCTGTGTATGTGTGTGTACATATACGTATATATATATATAGTTTGTTTTTTTTGGCAGATGAGTTCTTTCTCGTGCCATGGCATGCTCAGCCCTTCGAATCCTCGAAGCGGCTGATAGTCCGGCATCATTGTCCCGCTCTCTAAGCTGGAACAGTGCTGGATGAATTCCATCATAAGGCGATCAGCTTCGCCTTCGTCACTTCCAAATCTGTGCTTGTGACGGGCAATGCTGTCGCTACAAAAGCCTGCGAACGCCTGTGAAAGGACACTGGGGTACTCCTTTGCACAGGCGGTCCTAAAACTCCCATCTGATGCTCGTCCAAGGAGGTGTGTCACCGGCTTGACCGCATCCTCCAAGTCATGGGCCGATCGAGGTAGGTTGCCATTGCTGTACATCAATGTAGTTGGTTTGATGCCAGCGGCCCCGTACCACCGTATCGCCATTGCTGGATCGTAATTTTTCGATATCCCTCCTCGCAGTTTTTTCTTTCGCCATGCACCCGTTGCTGACATCCACAGCAAAACAAAAGAGGTGCTTGGGCACCAGGGCATAGGACGGAACATGGTTTTAGATTCGACGCTGGCGTGCAGCTACAACTATGTTTTCATTTTGGAAGTCGTAAGCATGATAATCAGTATGGGATATTAAGTTGTGGATAAGTTGGTTGGAATGGAAAGTGCAATGCTGCCTAGGTCTGCCGATACGACGTTTACCAACTTCGACTGCATCTGCACTGCCAGGCTTATAGGTTACCTGCCTCCTTGGGTCATTGTCCGAAGATCTAAGTATGTGCGCAGCGAGTTTCGCTCGTCTTTCATCAAGCGTCGTGCTAAAAGGTTTGATACTAGAGTTTCCTAATGAGCCATGCGTGTAGCTTGGGTGAGTAGACCTATCTTTCCATAAGAGATCAAGCCTCAGCCAGGTCCGCTTGGTATCTTGCATTCTCTGTGAAACTTCCCTCGCTATGTTCACTGCATAGTTTAAGTTGTTCCCTAGATAGACAGCATCATGAGTTTTTACCAGTGGGGTTTGATCTTGGAAATGTATGGCTGAATCATGGTACATGTGGATAGAATGGCATTTCCCCCTGTTGATTTTTAAGCCGTAATGTTGGGAACAGTCTTCTATGTGATGCAAAAGTTCGTTGAGGGCATCAGGGTCGGTTGAAAATAGTATGGTATCGTCAGCATAAAAGAATGCGTCAAAGTGAACACCTGGAACTCTAGCATCAAAAACTGTGTTACAACATCTTCTCTTAACATCAGCATCAACACAAGTCATGACCAGTAGGAATAGGTAGGGGCTTTAAGGGCATCCTTGACGTATTCCAGTGTTCTGACTTCTGACGGCAGACTTCCCATATTCATCTTGCACGTAAAAGGTTGGAGACTGGTATAGAGCTTTGATGGCTGAAATAAAATGCTGTGACAGTCCAAGTCGGGTCAATGAAGCAAAAAGCTTGTCGTGAAGAACTTTGTCAAATGCTTTCTCCCAGTCTATTAATGCTAAGTAAAATTGCGCATGTTTCTGCTCAGCCCAGTCTTGCAGTCTTCTAATGAGAAATGTAGCATGGGCCGTGGATTTGTTAGGGCGGAACCCGTATTGCGTGGGTGAGACTTTGAATTCAACAGCTTGCTCTACCCTTGTAAATTGAATTCAATAATGAGATAGGACGGTAGTTGGATGGATTGTCTATATTTCCTTTTTTATATATTGGTACGACTCTAGCTGTCAGTATGTCGTGGGGTACTAGCCCCTCCGCCCACCATTCATTTAAAATGTCGAGCAGAAATTGTCGATTTGAAGTGTTCAACCATCTGTACAATTCGACAATCACTTGGTCAGGTCCCGGTTGCTTGTTTACTTTACATCGCTTTAAGATCAAGTGAAGTTCCTGGAGAGAAAAAAGGCTATTGTCACAAGTTGGTATTTCCCCAATAAGATCATTGTAAGGCAGCAGGCCCTGACCATTGCTGTTGGACAAATGCTGTTGCTCAAGATAGGTGGCAATAGTGTCAGCTCGGTCTTTGAGGGGGACTAGCCGTCCGTCGGCATTTCGCATACTCATGTAGGAAAGTTTGCTGGTAGCGCGAGAGGATCACGTAGCCCTTGCGATGAAGGAACCAAGCCAAACGGGCTCTGGCTCGCTGTCTCCGCTGCGCTCGCCTGGCAGTAGTTGAAATCGCGGCCAACTTGTCCAGGATGAAGTTTGCCAGAGCAGCCACAGATCAGGTTCTCAAGGTCCAGGATCCAAAAGAAGATGAAGAAGAGCTTCAATGCCCAACTCATACACGGAAACCTGGAAGATGTCGAGGCAAGTCCAAGCCCAGCACTGCAAAAGGAGGTGTTAGCGGTGGGCTAAGCTGCCAGAGCACAATGCCAAACAGATGCAGCGCCGAAGGCCACAACAAAGAGGCAAGGCCACGTATGGCCCGCGGGTGATGTCAAACCCGCTAAGGCGAATAGCTGGTGAGCAGGCGGGGGGCCTTGCCAGCCAGAACCTTTTTTTTGTTTTTTGACCCGGCGGACCCGCAGGCGGCTGTTGCGAATGAACAACCTGCTGCCAATTGGTAGCAATACTTCCAGTTCTGCATCGCTCAACAGAACGAACGTGTTGGGTGAGCAAAAACCCTTGAGCCAAAATGGCTACAGATATATATATATATACTATATAGACCATCTGGTAACTTTTTGGGATTTGTACAAATACACACACATATAAGGACTATATCTATATAATATAGAGGTTCTGTTACATGGCAAACTCCTGATTGTTTGTCTTGATTGTTCATCTTGGATGCAACCAAGGTTGTATCAGGTAAAATAACCACGAGTTGTTGCTTCAAACATGATTTTCCTTCTTCGCCATGATCCAAGTTTGATCCTTTCGTGTCTTCGTCCATGAAATGGAAGTCCTCATGAAAACCACCCCATTTATTCGGATAGTTTGAAGCTAATTCAACTGACGCCAGCTCCCATGATCACAAAAATGTGTTGTCCAAATGTTGCCATGATGATGGTAAACCATGAAAGTTACAGCTAAAAATGGTACCCTCCCGTAATCCGGTAATCAAACATGGCAATAGAAAATCTATATATATATATACACACACATACCCATTTCTAGATGGTTCTCGCAATAAAACCTACATTTAGTTCGTGGATTTCCCAACCAGCCACGTTACCGGAGGGAAAACCGCCAGGGCCACCTGAATGGGGCGACAGCTTGCCCGCCGCTTCCGACTTGGTGGGAATGTACGGAGGATTTGAGACGATCAGGTCCTCAGAGGTCCACGGTGTCACGGTGAGGAGGATTCAACCATTTCGTTGGGAAAATGTCCAACCGGTTTTCATATGTTTTCATTGGGTTCACACAAAAAAAAAACAGAATATCATCTATTTGGGTCCCAAGACATTGAATGGGTGATGATCATCCCCAAAACATTGGAAAGTATAAACAAAAAAAACTCAAGCAACAGGAGTTTAGCAGCCCCTGCTAATGTGGGTCTGAAAAACTCCGGCAAAAAAACCTTCCATCTACTGATCATAATTTTCCACAACTAAATCTATAAATGGCCATGAATTGCAGGGTTAAATCTTCATCTTGGTGGTCAAACGTATCCCTATACTTACATGTGCATACATCAGATGGCAAATCCCCCATTTATACATAGATATGTATATATATATATATATGTAGTTACATAGTATATATATATATATACATAAAATCATGTATAATGATGTATATAATTATACATATATATATATATACTTATATATGTATATATACCAATTACATATGGGTGAGACATATCCTATTTATCTCCCCATTAATACCCAAATACCTTCGGGCCCCACCGGCTTCGCACCAAGCATCAAAGTCGCAATCCTTCTCGAGCAGCGCCACGGCATCTTCTGCGCAGAACTTCCACTGGATCTTGCGCCCGGTGGCTGTGGCTGCTTCTGCATTGAAGGTGCGGGACTGGTAGTACCTGGTGCTGCTAGGGAAATCAGGGAAGTCCAAAAAAAAGGACCAGCCAGTTTCAGGGTTTTGGATGATCCAGTGGTTTATGGGCTCAAGAATCACTGAATACGATTTTTCTTGGTTCTAATCCATTTCGGAAGTGGCTGTGTCTGCGGGTCTAATGGGCAGGTGATTAACTGGTGGAGTCTAAGGGTAGGTGCCATTTGGGTTGTCCAGAAGTGTCAGAGTCCGCGGAAGGACAACTGGGTCACCCACCTGAGCATTCCCGAAGCCCAACTGACCCCCAAAATCAAATGCCACACGATGACTGTTGACATGAGGATCAAGAATGTATATTCCTGTGTAACATTGCAATTTTCATCCATTTCGATGTCATTGCCAATATTCGGATTCCATCTGAGATTTCATGGATTCTCATGATCATCACAAGATCATTAAGCTGGTTGGTGGTTTCAACCCCTCTGAAAAACATGAAAGTCAGTTGGGATTATTGTTCCCAATATCTGGAAAGATAAAAGTCCATGGTTCCAAACCACCAACCAGTCAGAAATAGGAATAGTATGGAATAGTTACGCACCAACCACTATAATGGGATAGGGCTATTTTTAGTGGCTTATTTGGAACCATCAACGTGACGCAAACCCAACTCCACCAGATCTGCCGCATCTCCGCGTCACGTGCTTGCCACTGGATCGATATCCACCAGCGTCACCTCTACGGATCCCGTACCCTGGGCGTAATGCCCTGCGAACTTGCCAATGAAGCCTCCCAGGGGTGTTTCCAGCTGGGCAAACCAGGGGAAAGCATTGGAAAGCTGTAGAATTCATGGTGCAAATTTTCGGATAGATTGAGAGAATTGAAGTCACCCAGATTGGATGGATTGTCACAGAAAACATGGCTGAAAGATGCTGAAAGTGAAGGCCATTTTCCCCCGCAACCACCATCTTTTCGGATCATGCCACGGATCGTAACCCCAACGGCCCCAACGTTACGCAGCATTCAAGGCATCCCTTAGTCGTCCCGATGTCACGCCTGTGAATGCCACAAATTCTTAAGCGTTTTCTGGCACCAAATTTTAGCAATATGACCGGAGAATGTTGCATTTAGCTTGCATTTTAATGGTCCAAAATGTTTGCACATCAGGGAATTGGAGATGCAGTTCGAAATGTAAATAAACGCAGGAAATTCGCAACACCGCAACAGCGATTCTGTTGGGTTTCAATCTGTTGGGCAGGGAGTGGTGTCAGGAAGCATGCAACCTTGGTATCTTGGAACCATGATTGAAACATCTTGGAACCCTCCGACCTCGGAACCTCGTATTCTTGGAACCTTGGAACTATGCAGCAACCTTGGAATTGTGGAAACCTGCAACCTGAGCCCCTGCAAGTATGGAACCCTGCAACCTTGAAACCTTGCTCCGGAACATTGCAACCTTGGGAGCCTGGAACCCTGCAACCTTGGACCATTAACTCTGTGAGATCCTCAGTTCCGCAAGTAAAGGCTGCAAAATCCTGCATTTAGCTTGCGGAAAGAAGAAAAGAGGCGACTTTCCAGATTTGCTCTCCCCCGCTAAATTCCTCAATTTAGGGAAAAAAAACAGACGACTTTGTCATGTGCCTGTATTTTCTAGGGTTATCCCATATTTCTAAGTGGCTTCTAACCAACCCCAGATACCATCAATCAGCTATAAATCCCATGAAATACCAACTCTTTCTTGGTGAAATCACCATTTTCCTACCAGTTTTTCTACAGATCCTCCAAGTCATCTCAACCCCAAAGTCCCCAAGCCCCTACCGGCCCTACCTGATCCGCTCCCCACATCGATCAGCCGCTGCACCGGTTTCATGTCGCGCAAGGCGTCGACCAGGCCACGACAGACCAGGATGGTGTCGATGCTGGGCTGCATGAAGCGACCCCCAGCAGGCCGGGCAAAGACCAAGCCCACCTGGAGGATGTTTGTTTGATGATGTTCAATGGATTGGTTTAAGGGAAAATCTTAACCGGAAACCCTGGTTTTTTACCATCAAATATAGAGGTGTCCGGTTCCAATTTTCCCGTCATCCAATTCTGTGAGATGTTTAATGATTGTTTTTTATGATTATCATAATTATCATCATTATCATTATTGTTACTATCATTATTATTGTTTTTATTTTTGTTATTATTGTTATTAGTACTATTATTATTGTTATGATTATTACTATGTGTTTATTGTTATTATTAAAATTCATTTCTATTACTATTGATATTAGTATTATTACTATTATTACTATTATTCATATATACATGGAGGAAGTATGGTAGCGCATCAAGCAACAAAAACCAGCACACAGTGGATGAATTTCCAAGCGGTCGCTGGGCCCGTAG